AAGACATGTTTCGACTGGAAGATAAAATAAAAACCCCATTCACACTCCGTTCATAAGAGGTGTGCTCTCGAATATACGTACTTGGGCCTCTACCTGGAGTGGTTCCACCTGCTTTGACTTGTACCAACGTCTGGACCAATCAGAACTCATAGAACGGTCCTTTTTTTTTTGCGTGGAACCATATTCTCTGCCAATAGCTACGTAAGGGAGGGCCCGTATAACCGAAAAATAGTTCACCGATATAGTTGACTCAATATAGTTGTGGACCAATGAGCGAACCTTGTGAAATATGAAAATTTATTATATCGAGGTCAACTTTTCGAGGGTCTCGGACCCTCGAAAACATTCTGATATCGTTAAAGTTTTACGGTAAAGTTCAAAATAGTACGTAAACTTAAAAATTGTCTTCGAAAACGTGGTTTGCATTTCATTGGGTGCCACCGGACCGCCGAAAAGCACGACAAAAACAATAAATTGAAACCAAAACTACAACGGACGCATTTTGCGTGTTCAAACAGGGTGCATCCATTGTAGCCTTCACAACCGTTGCATAGATACATAGTAACACACGTATAGTTTATAGTTATAAACTAGGAGATCATCATGTTTAAATCGCACATATCCGCAGTAGAATTAGGTAATTATGTCGCCGCGCCAAGAAGATGCGTGACCTCATCAAGGGTCCTGATGATGTACCTGTAGAGCCTACTAGAACTACATATGGTACCGCAGGTAGTATAGTATATAGGAGTAAGAAAAGACCTAAACAGCCTCGCAAGACTATTTGCGTACCAAGCAAGCCATCAATTCTGAGAGCACAAGCAACAAACAATCGTGATACACGCGACACTGTACTGTCGACAAGAGAGAGGGGTTCACGTAGTCCACGTAGCGAATATAGTGAATACTTGAAAACACGCCTACAGTTTTCCAATTCAGAAGAATTTCTCGAGAATAATTACACTAGTAGATCACCGACAATAGGAACACCAACTTTAAACATACAATGCGAGTCATTTTGTCTATGAAGGAGATCAGCAATATCAGTTCGATGTCCATAATGATGTTGACGTCGATGTCGATGTCGATGGCGATGGCATGCATCAATCAAATTTTGAATTGAATGCCGACAATGAGTTTGATAGCTTTCTCGCGGTCAATAGTAACGGCAATATTATTACTGGCGACAAGAATTTAGATAGTTTTTTCGCAGCCAGCGCTCTTGACCTTCCAGTGTATATTCAACTTATACGTAGAAAGCCACCAAAGCAAAAGAAAACGATGCCATCCTTGGACTCTATCCGCAGTGGATTTATCTCAACAATTTTTGCAAACAAAAAGCCTCATAATGATCAGGCCTCTCCAACAATTACGACACCGTCAGTAGTTACAACATCCCCAGGAGCTACAAAGCCTCTAGCAGCTATAGCAGCTACGGCACCCTAAGCAACTGTAACACCCCTAGAAACTACGGAACTACCAGCAACTGCAACACCACCCACAGCAACAATGTCACCAGAAACTGCAACATCCCTAGTAACAGCAACATTTCTAACAAAAGCAACATCCACAACAATAGCCCCAACTGTAATAGCCGGGCCTGCACATTAGACTATATGTTATAAACGTACTCTTAAGCAGTACGTAAACTATAAAAGTACTCTTAATAGTACGAGGAACATAAGTTTCTTAAATGGTTGTAATGGTTTTATTAATTAGTACCTTTTCCATTTTACATATCAGATATTTGGACAAGGCCATTAAAAGGCCCCAGTAAAATACCAAACATAAGAGTTGGTCTAGTTCTATTAATAGAACTATATATACTTTTCAACTTTATTTATATCTGAAAACTTCGGTAGCGAGATGGCTCAACCGAACATAGGTTTCTGAGGACTATTAGCGTTGCTTAGTTTATCCTCCGTTCTGCCAACCAGATGTGCCAGTCTGACGAAGGCTAAGTCGGTAATTCTTGATAAGTGACAAGTTATTGGTAAATGCAATAACCATGGACATCAGGAGTATTTTTCCTTTATTTTTTTATCTTTTCTTTTTTTTCTAAAGCTAGGATTTTATGAGTCTCTCGGATTCGCCCCAACGAAACATACCATAGTTTCTAATAGAGCGACAACGGAACACTAAATAAAATCCCTTCGGCGAAAACAGTCCTGAGAGGATTATATATAGGCAATGTCTCAGCTTCACAATCCCTCAGAGTATTGCGCTTTTCACGAGGCATACCTAACTCTACTAAAAGACTCATTTCGTTTATTTACTTTAAATTTTACGATACTTAGACTTTACCTACACGTTTACTTACTCTAAGGCATTAATATTGCCTTGATAGACCGAATCTTACACATTTTAAAGATAGCAAAGGTACTAATTACTTAGACTACTTAAACGTAAAGGTTAACTATCACGAAATGTTTTCTTAAGCAAAGTCATTCCTTAGGAGAATAATACTGAAGTCATAAGTTAAGATTATGACAAAGAAAGACAATACGCCTGCAAAGAAATGCAAGGCCGAACGTAAAAGGATGGAAAGAGAAGTTGCTACCGCTGCCGCAGAAGCAACCGCTGCCGCTGCCGATGCGTTTAACCGCACCGTAGCCGAAGCACTTGTCTCCGACAATAATAGTCAAGACAATACCTCAGATAAGGATGTAGCCACTCCTATTAAGGAAACTACTCCTACATATAGAGGCCGAGGGCCAACTATTGCCTCAACTTTAAAGCTGGCATTTGCGAAGCCAAAATGTGAGACAAGGGACACGTCTCAAGACATCCCATCCAATTCTTCTGACGAAACTCAGAAAGAAAAGCCCCCAATTATAGGGGACAAAGATGAATCTCAGAAGGTACCTATAACGGAACCAGATGAGGAGGCAGGCTCAAGTGGCAACCCCGAATCTACGTCCGAGACCACTGAACCAACGCACATAAGTAAGTTAATTACTGAAAACACTGATCTTAAGAATCAGTTAGCCACCCTTATGAAGGACATGGCTGTTGAACATGTAGATCGATTGTATAGATTAGGAAACCATACACAGCACTTACGCGAGCATGTTTCTCCGGGATTTACCGAAGCCCTACAGAAGTGGACAGAACGTCGACAGGCAATTACGCCCGAAGAGCGTAAAGGCTTGAGCGCTACAACTGTGGCAGATGTACCAGATGTGCTCAGCGTATCTATGCCTTACGAGGTACCACCACCAGAGCTCTATGCTAATTATTCGCCTGTTCTAACGCCCGGCCATGAGTCGCCCGTCCTTGAGGGTATTATAGACCCAGAGGCAGGTAAAAATACTCCGCCACCTTTACCCAACTGGGATGACAATCGTCGGAAACCAGTTAAGACTGAGTACGTCATCCGGACGCATAAATCACCCAAGATTATAAAATCAACCACTATCCGAGGAACAGAGCACCGAAAGGCCTCGACCATGGATTTTACGAGGGGTAATAAACACCCCCGTAAACGTGTTAACGAAGTCGAATTTAATCATTTCGATCACACAGCATTACACCAGCCCGCAGAGGATTTCGACTCTGACGAGGTGACCGAACTTAATAAATCGGTTGACGATTACATTATTAAAGTGGAAACCGCCCATGATGCGCACCATGCTGATGATGTATCATATTTTGCTAATAAGATCGCGATTAAGCAAAGGTGCATCGATCAGCTACTTCAGGCCCAACGTGACTTAAGTCGAACTGGGATGCCAATAGCAAGCAGGTCGAGTTTATAAACAACCATGACCTTGACACGCTAACCCGTACGCTTACTGCATTTACGGTCATGCTGGAGACGAATGATATCTCTGACCAGCAATGGATTTTTGCTTTAATGCAATTATTTGACCCTGCAGCGACACCCGTATAAGCTAGACACTTGTCGTGACTGGCCAGTTGTGTGTTGGTTGGTTACGTCTTTATTAAGCAAGGACATGCGCAGTCCAGGACTGAGTTCAATCTTAACTGAACCAGTTGAGAATACTCCTGTTCAGAGTTACATTCTGAAACTTGATGCTGACCTTAAACGTCTAGATAAAACAAAGCGATGGTACAAGTTCCTTTTTATGCATGTTTTCTGTAACAACATATGAACAACGACCGTGAAAGTCTGTACACCGAGTTGCGACGTAACTACGCAACTGAGGCTCGAGACAAGGGACATTAAACAAAG